GTGGGAAATACTACACGACTCTTGACATGGCATCGGGATTTCATCAGATTCCGATCGCGGCAGATTCAATTGAAAAAAACTGCTTTTGTTACTCCGGATGGTTTGTTCGAGTATAAGACCATGCCGTTCGGTTTGTGCAACGCTCCTTCTGTGTATCAAAGATGCATAAATCGCGCTTTAGGCCCTCTTTTGAACCCAGGCAGTGCGGACGTAGCTCATAATGATAGTGTAGCTCAAGTTTATATAGATGACGTCATTAGCAAATGTCGTGATTTTTCATCAGGAATTGTATACCTAGAAAGAGTACTAATGGCACTACGTAAGTCGGGGTTTTCGGTTAACATAGACAAATGTCTTTTCTTTAAACAATCCATTGAATATCTAGGAAACGTCATAGAAAACGGTCAAGTTCGTCCGAGTCCGAAGAAAATCGAAGCGTTGGTGAAAGCCCCTGTACCGACTAATGTTAAACAGGTTAGGCAATTTAACGGCCTGGCAGGCTACTTCCGGCGCTTTATACCTAATTTCGCGAGAACTATGGCTCCGCTGTATCAATTGACTAAGCAAGGCACTAGGTGGCAATGGACTCATATTCACGAAGAAGCACGTCAAAAGATCATCCATCATTTAACTTCTTCGCCGGTACTTACGATATTTCAAGAAGGGGAACCAATTGAACTTTTCACTGATGCGAGCTGCCTTGGTTTCGGTGCAATACTCGTTCAAATCATTGATGGACGACAACACGTGGTAGGTTATTTCAGCATGCGTACGACTGACATTGAAAGCAGATATCATTCTTATGAGCTCGAGACTCTGGCAGTGGTTCGAGCAATCAAGCACTTTAGGCATTTTCTTTATGGACGTCAGTTCAGGGTGATTACCGATTGTAACGCGCTCAAAGCTTCCAAGCATAAGAGGGACCTGCTACCCCGTATTCATAGATGGTGGTCTTATCTACAAAATTTCGAATTCGAAATAGAGTACAGGAAAGGCGAGCGAATGCAACATGCAGATTTCCTTAGTAGAAATCCAGACCCCTTGACTGTTAACGTAATGTCTAAAAATTTGGATTGGTTAAATATTGAACAACGACGCGACAGTCAGTTAAGGCCTATTATAGATGCTCTACATAATGGTGAACAGGTCCCCGGATATCATCTCGAAGGTAATGTTCTTAAATTTGAGAGACAAGAAGCTATCTTAGGTACACAAAAGTTGATTGTCGTGCCAAAGTCTTTCCAATGGAGCCTCATCAATACCTTTCACTGTTCTCTCAAACATCCAGGCTGGGAGAAGACACTTCATAAAATTAGAGAAACATATTACTTTCACAAAATGACTAGCACCGTTAAAGAATTCGTTGATAACTGTGTGGTTTGTAGAACATCAAAACAAACTTCTGGAGCAGCACAGGTACAATTACATCCTGTCCCCAAACCAACAGTGCCGTTCCAAGTTATACACATGGATATAACGGGTAGACTAGGCACCTCTGAAGAACAAGAGTATGTTGTGGTTACAGTGGACGCTTTTACAAAGTACGTATTACTTCGCTACACTAATGACAAAAGCCAATACAGCACTCTTGCAGCCCTAAAGCAGGTGGTTCACCTGTTTGGAGCTCCAGGGCAAGTCATCGTAGATGGTGGGCGTGAATTTTTAGGTGAATACAAAAGTTACTGTGACAGGTTTGGTATAGAAATACACTCTATATCGCCAGGCATTTGCAGAGCCAACGGACAAGTGGAGCGAGTGATGGCAACATTAAAAAATGGACTTATCATGATAAAGAACTATGAGACTCCAAACTGGCACACTGCACTAGAAAGTCTACAACTCGCACTTAACTGCACCGTTCATAAAAACTATAGGTGCATCTCCACTGACTCTATTAACTCGACGTCAAAACTGTGTCCCTTCCGAGTTGCTTAACTTAGTGGACCTCGAAAATGAACAGATTGACATCGAAGCGCTTGAACGACACGTTCAACGAAAAATTACTGACTCTTCCACTAAAGATAAAGCAAGATTTGACAGAGGTCGTGCTAAAATCCACCGTTTTCAACGAGGCGACTTCGTCTTAATAAAGAACAACCCCAGAAATCAGACTTCCCTCGATCTAAAATTTAGTGTTCCTTATGAAGTTCACAGGGTTCTTGAAAATGATCGCTATCTCGTGAAGAAAGTGCTCGGGCATCATGGGCGAGCTCGTAAGGTAGCACATGATCAGCTACGGCGCGCTCCTCAACCGGGAGATACTGCCCAGGCGGCCGTGTCGCCACCAGACAACGGGGAAACTGCATCCGCCACCGTTACGGCGGCTGTAGTACCGTTACACCACCAGAATCTCGAGTAATGTAGAATTTTGGAAGTCCGGTGAGGATATTTCATTTTAATTTATTAATAAATTTAATCAGTACAGATATCAGGCTGTAAAAAGAAAATTTATAAAAAAAAAAAAAAAAAAAAAAAAAAAAAATAAAAAAGAAAAAAAAAAAAAAAAAAAAAAAAAAAAAAAAAAAAAAGAATTATAAAATAAAAGATGCTATTGGCGTATGGAGCCGTCCAATAAGCCACTGATTGCCTGTCCCGAAAGAATTATGGTCCCCTGTGTACCACGGCGTACAAGACCGCCCAGAGCACAGCATCGACCTGACCAATTATCCTTTAGAGCCTCTGTTCTACACAGCATCGACCTCTCATCCACCTATCCTTCCCTATCGCGACAGTTGATAACGATCTTATTACAGTCGTTACATTGTCTCATGTGAACTGTACTTTCGAATGAAATTACACATGTACAAAAAGTCATGTTTGGTCTGTGGTCACGTGGAGTGGGCAGCCAATGATAATAAATGCACTTATTGTTCCCAAAGTCAAGGTCTGTATGTACTTTGAAAGTATCTACCCAGACTTACAATAAAATTTTCAGAATTACAGATGGAACAAGAGCGATGCAGGGCACGCATCGCATATCAGTATGGCCGTGTCGCCGCAGCGATTATTTGGCTTTTAAGTTAATTTAAAATCGTAATACAGAATATCAATGTTTATATTTAGAAAACAAGTTTGTTAATTCATAAATTTAGTTTTAATTATTACAAGAAATGATTATTCTCAACTACATGATTAAAAGTTATATTTACTAGAAAATCAATAACTAAATCCTCATCTTAATTTAGTAAATAAATACTACCTTAATTTAAACATTTAATTTATAAGTAACAGTTTTGTCTCACTAATACAGTCTCAATACGATTCCGTATTTCAACCATTTGAATGTCCATACTGTTGTTTATTTGTGAAATTGCTTAAATAACTTTTGAATAGTTTTAAAACATTACTATAAAACTATGGAACTTTTATAACAATTTATTCGTTAATAACAACTTTAATTCATTTATAATAGTTTCATAAAGTTGTAAAAATACTGTGCGATTATAACGCCACCTGGCGATTCAGTGGCGTTGACATTGTAAACTGTGGTACCTAAAGTGCTTGGAGTGGAGAGCTCACTTCGAAGCTGACTTTTGAAGAGAAAACATTGTAAGTAAAAATCTGTGTCAGTTCAATAAAATAATTATTATTTTTGTACTTTGTTTATTTGTTACTTTTTGCCCTAACCCTTATGTTTAAAGTATTGATGTAATCACTTCGTTTATAAGAATTTAATAAAGTATTTGGTTGTGTAGTTTGTAAATAAAACTTGCTTAAGTATATTGGAACTGATGACTTTAGGGTCAGCAGTTCTGTTTCCTTTTTTTTAATAACTTTGAAGTGAAATTTCCGATATATAATATACCTTTGAACGTATGAATTGTAATCTTAAAAACTCTCAGGTTTGAAGAGTTTGGTAAGGAATGAACATCACAAGCTGTATAATATTAAGTATAATATACTTTTAAATAAATTAAACACAAAAATATCAATAAATGTTTTATTATCCAACAGGAAATACTTAAATCGTCACATAATCTATTTTATTCATTTTTTTAACTTCATAAATGTATTGTAAACGTCGATGAGTCCTGGCTTCTTTTAGCACCGCCTGAAACAAAACATAGGATGTTAATATCAAATTCACGATGCTTTTAGAACAATAGTTACGTATATAACATGAGTAGTGTTCCAAAAAACCCATAAATTTATAGTTAGTTCGAATTTGGAGAAGATAGAGTTGCCTGAGCAGATAGCTAGCTCAAAAATATTTCCTTCTTTTAACATATTTCATATTGAGTAGACCGCATGTGCTAAATTTGTAATAACATCTAAGGGTTTATGATAGAAATTCAAGAAATCACAGGAAGAACGCATTTTATCGCGTATTCCCATTTATTTTGACTATTTTGCAACAATCTTAGCCAAATGATGTTCTGACGCCATAGTGTATTATTTATATAATTTTTATAAATTATACTTTTTAATCGAACGTCCTAAAAACCAACTTAATCTTGAAAACTTGTACCAATTTTGAGAATTAAAATACAATTATTTAATAATTGAAATCCGTGAATATTATGAATGCTATGAAACTATTACATAATTATAGTGAAACTATTATAATATGCATTCGCGTAAATGTGGGTAATCATTTTCCGGAACATCTTCAATACTGGTTCCTCTTCAGTGCCCCATCTCGTAGATATGATGATTTTCTCCTTGTTAGCTACGTGTATTCTCAAGCAATAACATCTCGTAATGTGTGTTAATTCCCCAAGAATACGCGTGACCTCCAAGTATAGAAATTCTTCGTACAAACGGCTCGCGGCTGATGTGGGTCTTGACATCCGAATTGGCTAATAAATACATTTCACAAAACTATTAAAAAATAATATTATAACAAACTTACCATTATAAGTACCAAAATTAATTTAAGTATTATTATATATAAAACAATTTCAAATTGTGGAAATAGGTCTTGAAATATAGAGAACGCATTGAAGCGGCAAACAATATTTGCGTCTACTCATCTGTTTCCGACGTTTATCCGGGCATTACCCGGGTCGAACTGCCGGCAAGAAGGGCAGTAGGACTAATCGCTGGCCGGAGTGCGTCGGCACGAACGCGCCCGTCGGCACATCCGGACACAGCCGGGTAATCCGGTCTCCGGGACACGTCCGGATACCCTTGGACAGCGCGCGTCGCCCGGGTTTAACTGTGAAACGAAACAGACGCATGATTGTCGAGATTAAGCGCTGATTCCACCTCTACGGCTACGGTGTTTAAGAGATTTGCTACGACTATTGTGCTTTATTTCGCACTTAGAGCTCTTAGAATCATTTTAATTAATTAAATTGAGATTGCCTGTGTGATATTTTAAACGAATAGGTATACAGGGAGGCTTTTATAAGTGTAGCCATTTTCTTTAATTAAATTCTAGACATAAATAATGTTATATAAAAAACGATAAATATTTTAAATCACTCGTGAGTAATTAATTACATTCATTTAAACTTATCTCAAAAAGTGCGTTATTTATACGCAACTCTATTTATTTTACGTGCATCATATAATCATTTATAACTAACACGCACACAAGTTCGTTGAATGAATGGCTACCGCGTTGTCAACAAGTTCTGTTTTTAGGGAATATATTTTTTTTTATTTCAATAAACGATTATACCGAGTATATATTAATTACCGAGTCTAAACCTCCTGTGTAAATTTGGGCACCTTTAAAAAAGTCTCCCTGTATACACTCGATGGCGCAGTTGATAAGTTATTTGCATTCGGCGCCTGAGTCGTGGCTTGGATACCCACAGGGGATAAGAATTTGTGCGACCCACGGATAATTGTTATGGAGCTGATTGTTTATTTCAAGGAGGGTTACGTCAGGCAGGCGGCCGGTCGTAAAAAAGCGAACCAATATCATTAACAACATGATTCACAATATGTTGTGCCCAACCCCATAGAGGTGGGATAAGGGTAGGAAAAAGGAAGAAGAAAATGTGAAGAAATATAAGATATATGAGTAAGATTGTTTTAATATAAAAGGTGAAATAAAATACATGGAATTATTTTAGAAATTGTCAGCGTCATCGATAAATAAAGTTTTTAAATATGGAATTTAAATATTATGTACACTAATATCGTGGTTAAACATTGTAACTCGTGCGAAAAGTTTACCTCCAAATATAGGCCGAAATAAATTATTTATTTAAACACGAAGAAAGTATCTTCAAGGCAACATCAACAATACGATGTTATTTATCTTGTAACTTTATATTTGAATACGGGAAATTATAAATAGTAATAAATTTTATTTAATGTAATCGTTAGAAGGGCAAAGGGTTACGTAAGAAAAAATTATTAACCTGTAACTGATACCATAAAACCGTCAAGAAAGGTTGATCAAAATGAATAAAATGATCTAATGGGATAATTTTACAGACTGAGTATTGTAGCAGGGCTAGTGCTTCCATTATTCTAAATGGACCTTTGATCGGTTAACAAAACAGATAAGCAACAAAGAGCAACTAATACTTTTATAGCAATTTGTAAAGACGATTCACGACACCTTTCATCTGGTATTTTTGACGTGCGATCTTTAACCGACAATCGGATATTAAACGTTTACCCGTTGCTGGAGGTTTTATCCGGACTGTGTTATCTGAAAGCGGCCCCTTTGATCCGCTCGCTTCTCTTTGATGCCGTGGCCTTTGTGACGCCTGCGCCTCTCCATTCGACCTGTACAGACGATTAAGACTCTGTGAGGACACTATTTTGTAACTCCACAATGGTGTTTACGAAAGTATTAGAACACGTTGGAGGCAACACACAATTCATTCGTATTTGTAAGCTTTACTTACATGTACAGAGCGAAGACAAAAGAATAAGGATTAATTAAACATTTGAGAAAGATTCTATAAAATAGGCACAGATCGGATAATGGAATGGTATTTTTATCATTGTCGCTATTCACTCATCGGTAAAGAAACTTGTTTTAACGTCAACATCATTGCTTCATCAGCCTTCCATTGCTGAACATGGACCATAGATAGCTAGGAAGCTCATATACCAGCACCAATTTAAGATTATTATATGATAGCCGCCAACCATCGCTTTACGAAAATTATAAGCAATATTTTGAGCTCATATAAATTTGAAAAATCTTATCTAAAATACAGCAGAAACAAGAAAATATTTCAAAACTATTAATTATGTACATCTCTATATAGATGTTTTGAACAGTATTAAGCCCATCTCGTTTAATGTTAATATTCTGTTAGACAAAGTAGCAGAGAAATTCATAATGATTTTTTTATTGAATTATTTAAAAGAAACATTTAGAGATCGTTAAAAAGCGTTCAGTGTAAAAGGATTTACGAGCTCTTTGTAGATGTCAAGTGCACGGGTTTTCATGTGTAAGGGTTGTCATGTATCTTATTTAACTCTTTACGTACAGTCCTCGGAATAAATTATAATATTTTATTAAGGTCAACGGAATGATTAAAATAATTATAATTTCCTATTTTATATTTACACATATTCGTTTTATATCATAATTAATTCCCCTCGCAAGTATTTTTCAATGTATGAACCATTATAATTTAATAGTTTCTTATGCAATAAAAATATTTAATGTTATTTTATAGAAAAAATAATATAATTGACTATAATAATGTGTACCTGTACGTTAGCATTGCCTTTTGATCAAATTTCCTAAAGTTTAAAAACTTACAATTGTACAAATAATGTGTATAATAATCGTATAATATTTATGATTTGAAAACCCTATCTCGTGCCCCTGGCTAACAGCGCAAATGTCACATAAATAGCAAAGAATTAGATAACGGTAAGAATTTAAACCGACTCTCCGCCAGACTGCTGCACAAACGTTTAAGATTCACTATGGTTTATTTCATTACTCTTCTTTGTTAAATGAAAAGACGCCATTAACACAGAGATTGCAAAGATTTTGTTAAAATGTAAGTAAAATTGGTATCATTTTTAATTGCTTTTTATTTATTTAAATATCACAAGTATTATCGTTCAAATTTTAGTGGAGTCAATAGTGTTTGAAATGGCCAATGATGTCATATAATTGTGTTTCTTTAAAATTCCTAATAGCGCATTCGTTCATCGTCACATACATTATTATTGGATCCCAAAATTAAACTTACAGTAATTGTTACTCTGTCTGTTATAAATTCTTGTCGGTTCGATTTTCACATTTTTCAGTTCACACATTGCAAAACATATTCCATCTTGCACTGTTGACAATAAGGGTTACATTCGAAAGTTAACATATAAAATATTCCAGCGACGGGGACACATTTGAATACTCCAATGCATTTCACGGCAAGGTCCACCGTCCCGTGTGCCGATAATTGTACTAAGCTTTCATAGCTTTCATTTTTCAAAGTAAAATATGAAAAAGGACAATATGGTTGAAATGGCTTTACATTTATAGGAAAAGCGAGCCATTGCCGTTGAAAATATAGCAACGTGCATTTTCAGCGGCATTTGTATTGTTTCCTAACGAATTCCAGATATTTGAGGACCTTTAAAAACTCCATTGGTGTCGACACGTATCGGGCAAGAGGTACTTTTAAAATTAAGGCATATTATGGATGCTTTAAAAATTATTATTGTAGGGCCATTTCAACAAAACATGCTGTGAATTTTGGTTTATTACTACGCCATTCCTTAGCACGTTTCAAGCTGCAGTTAACCAAAATATTATGCATATTTTGGTTAACTGCAGCTTGAAAAAGATGATTCGAGCCACGTGCCCGAACTAGAAACGTTTTAAAATTTTCGTAGCAAGTTGTACCCTGGCGGTGTCGCTACTAAAAGCTTTTACCGCGGTGCTTTCAATTCGTCCCGAGGCGTGCGGTCGCACAAAGCGAAATTAATTTTCAAAATACACAGAAAAAAATTAACTTTCAACTCGCGACCGGGCGGGGGAGCACTCGGATAGACTCAGGAATAATAAAGCCGGCGTAGAACCGATGGCGGAGGGGTCGCGTGTTCTTAAACGCTTCGCCCGACGAATGTTAAGAGACTCATGCTTTCAATCGCAAGCTCGTCAACATAACTCCCAAACAATGGTGTTAAGGACAACTTTTTAAACGCACGACATAGATAGGCCGATTTAAAATTACATCAGACACACAACAGATATTATTTTTATTCACTGGAGATACAAAGAAATCTTATTTTTTTTTTCTTAAATTAAGCAATTCAATGTTAAATTTAACAAGAAAGTCATATTCTACGAGTATCGCATTTAAAGTCTTAAAAGGAACTGTGAAAAAATCTAGAAGATATAAAGTTTTGGGACGTGTGAGATTGTGTTATTGATCGAAAGTATTTGCGATCTGATACGAATTTAAAACAGAAAATTTTGTTCTTTACATTCCAATAGACGAATGAAAAGACTAAACGTGCTTAATTAGGTCGGGCGAGTTATCCTCTCATTTCTAATATTAATGAATGGTAGTTACAATTTAATTCCGATCGCTGCAAGGAGCGATCAGTTTTCCCGGGGCTAAGCAGGTGCACGCGTTCGAGAGGGTTTTAATTTAGCGGAGCGCAGAAGCCGCCTCCCCGCGGAGCGCTTAAACAGTCTAGGACATCATAGACTAATTTTTATATGCCTTTTTGCAACAGGCAAGGATAATCGAACTGCCAATCTCGACGTTGAACAAAGAAGCCCTAAGCGATGGAGAAAACTAATAGGAAGCTTTCATAAAATATGCTCCGTCGGCCGCACTAAGACCGCGTATATTCAACTTGCCGTTGCGTCTAATATTTCTTTATTATATAATAAATACGTATTCCTTTTTATTTGTTTATGACTAGTATTGAAGGTATGATTTGTCTTATCTTCTACTAGCTGTTAACCGTGGCTTCGCCCGCGTGGCCAAAGGCATTTTATTATACACCAAAATAGCTCGCAGATGGCTGATTTATTGCCTACTTAGCTGACACTTATCAACCTATATTTTGGACAATTCACACAATATCTTTATAAATTGTAGCCTATGGCGTATAATCTACATTATTGTAAAGTTTAATTAAAATATATTCAGTAGTTTTTGCGTGAAAGAGTAACAAACATCCATTTATACATACAAACTTTCGCGTTTAAAATATTAGTAAGGATAAGGATTAGTAAGGATTAGCTGTTTCAATCTTAGTAGATTTCAGTTGATATTTATAGTGATTTTTTTTTATGTCAAAAGTTACCAAGCGAGCAGACGGTTCTCCTGATGTTAAGTGAATACCACCGCCCATGGACATCTGCTATAGCCGAGGGTTGCAAATGCGTTGACAACCTTTTGAAAATTGGGCTCCGGCCACCTCACTCACCAGACGAAACGCGAAAGTATTATACTTCCACTTTACGCCGGTCTTCTGTGAGGTCGTGGTACTTACCCGGACGAGCCAGCCCATGCGTGCAACAGCCGAGGTTGCTGCGTGGCCCTACTACCATAAAATAATTAGCATATTATCACATTTTATACCTTGTTTTAAAAAATTATAACGTAACACTACGTAATGACACTGGAAATTTATCGTAGCTTCTAGGTTAATTCAAACATGTAAACTAGCCAACATAAAAATGTAACATGCGACATATTTGGCGGCTCGAAAAAAGCCGATTTCTCAGTGAGAATCGCTTATTTACATTTTAAATGGAGATTGAGGGAAGAGCCGTGCTAGGGGCTCAGGTGGCCCGCTTTTCTCCTCTGACGAGGAAACCCCGAGACAGGTAATTAAAATGCTAATGAGACGCTACTCGCGGCTGACGAGGAAGCAACCGCGCTAACTTCTGACTCCTGAGACCGCAATTTTATTTAATAAACCTCTCGATTTACGTGATTAAGGCGTGATTAACGTACTGAAACTAAGCGAAATTGTTTATTCACTTAGTTTGGAGCGGTTGCAGTCATCGAGTTGTTGATAAACGTGGTATTGCAATTAATGGGACATTTAGTACAAAGGTAACCGACATGGCTCAGAAGATTAGCAACCTGAAGTGGTGATGGGCCGGCCATATAGCTCATAGAACCGATAACTTGTGCGGAAGAAAGATTTTCGAGTGGCAGCCTCGTACTGGCCATTGTAGGACGACCCTCCTAGATGGAGTGGTGACGAATTATCCAAATGTGCGAGTAGTCTACGGATGCAGGTGGCTCAGCATCGTATGTGGCAGACTGTGGGTGAGGCCTATGTTCAGCAGTGGACTCAAAAAAGCTAAAATTACGATGATGAAAGGAAATTTAGACCTTTTTTACAGCAATGCACTTTCGGTATAGAAAATATTGATAGTCTCCCGAATGTTTCATCTAAAATAAATATGTTTCTTGTTATTAAAGCAATTAGTATTTACAGATTTTATCGCACTTAATTGAATCCTAATCTAAGAAAATTGTAATCTTTTAAATTGCTTGCGTGTAAACATAAAACGTCATTATGGTTACTAATAATAAATTCGTACGTTAGTACGCATACAGCATTACTTGCGAGACACTCGAACCGAGATGTCTCGCACGTAGCGCGGTCTAAAATTACAAGTTGTACATTGCTCTATAGATGAGCAGAACGCCGTCGGTAATTAGCTCCATAAGGCTTCATCGCGCCAAATTAATTTATTAACGTTGTAATCAAAAAGTATTCAAAACGGGAAATCGGTTTAGTCACACGCTGAAGTTCGCTGGAACGTAAATAATCTTCACTGGCTATAACTAAAGGCGTTTGTTCGAAGCGGGGACTTGAGAGTTGGTTTAATTCGTTGATAGGTTACCGCGATGGACTCTACGGAGTTCTGAATGTCGACACTAGTTTCATTAGCGAGTGATGAAACATGAAAATATATGAAAAAGATGAAAGAGCTTAACTCTAGCGTAGCAAAAAAATTGTAATAAAATGCAGGTTTTGTACGAATTTAGATTAATTTGATACTAACTTATTGGCAGAATTAACGTGTAAAGCAATCCGTTGTGTTTATTGTTTACTGATATTAGACAATTGAATTAAAACCAAAAAGTATTAAGCAGTGAGAAAATTATCATTATTTTCTAAACATGTTCACTAGTGTACGTAACATAACATCACTAAAACGTCAAGCCTCTTGGCAAGTTCTTTGATCTTGACATAAAGGCAACTTTATGATAACGCTTGTTTGTACCCTACCTATTTAGTTTGACTTAACGAATCTTACACCGCTTATATATGTTTACGTTCTATTAACTTGGTACGTAACAAGTTTGGGTATGGGTGATATAAACATATATCTTAATCTAATGAAGGCCGCAATATTGGTATTTATTATTTATCTTTCTGCGAATTTTGAAAAATTTCTCGCGTAGTACAGTATTAGAGATAGAAATAAATAAATTTTTCTATATCGTAAAACGTCGAGGAATCGCTCAGTTTCTATTTATTTTTAATTATTAAATAATACTAATTTACGGATTTTATCGTTCACTACTTATTACATTTACTATGTGTCCAATAATAGTGAGACTATTTAGGAATATGCTGTAGGCAGCAAAATAGTTTCATTTTACTTCTTCAATTGAAGAAATCAAAATTCTTTAATTTTTCATAAAAAAACCTTTAAAGTACCTAGTGTCGAAAATCCGAATCAAATTAAAAGCTTAATAAATATTATTTTAGATTATAATAGATATTTTAATATTAAAATGATATTTATTAAGCTTAAATTCACTTGAAATAGCAAGTACTTTAAAAATATTCAAAAATCCATCTGAGAAATCGTTTGGTATTATGCCCTTATTTTTTATTACTTTTTTTATAAGTATATGAAGAACGTGTAATTTTTATATCAACCTTCAAATAGAATTAAAAACATTTAACCTTAAGCTTATACGTACATGTTAGCTTTTTCTTCCTATTATTCACCTCTACAATAGTTGATATTCGATTTGTTGACATAAAGGCAAGAGAGCCGAACTGTCGCCATACGATAGCTATAGGACAAGCTAATCTTGTCGCGTGTTGACTCGCCTCAATAACTAACTTCAAACATAATTATCTCCCTCGATTTACCCTAAAATTGGTGATTCCCTCCAAGGGATTCCCCCGATATTGCCCGGGCAAATTTCTTGTGCCAACACGAGAGCGGATATCGAGATATTATTGGAGGGTCATTGTTTGCTCGTCTCATTATAGGCTGATTGATTTCATCAACATCTATTGGGTTGTGACGATTCGCTATTTTCGCTTCTTACGCAGTTGATATGGTGTACGATTACCAAATTGTTCTCTTTTCTATTAACTTTATCTGAAAAAGTAATCTTAGGACATCGTGACTAATGAAAATTCATAGTTTAAAGGTTTTGTTATAAAAGTAAGTACTAAAGAATTATGACCTTGTTTTTTGGATTTGCAATTTGTGAAGTTTTCGGAAGTCAGTCGAAATAGCTTTAATATTATATATTTCAAAGTTTAATAATTCTTGGAAATATAATATTTAAAAAAAATCCATTTTTGACCGGTTTAAGTGTTATAAAAAATCTTTTTTTAACATTATCATTTTATTTCAAAGAGAAGACAACTGATCAACCGGTTCCTGTTTGTAAGCGAAGGCCATGAGTACTACACTTTTTGAGTTGAGGCCAAAGTTCAACTCGCAACGAAAATGGGGCCAAGTAGGCTACAGCGTTGATCACGTTTCCCTATTCAATATACGGCGGGAATATTCACAGCGCATATTAACGGGTGAGACGGTGCAATTTTAAAACATGGCCGATGTTAGGAGGTAATAAATATAAAATATGTACGCCGCCGCCCCTGGCCGCGCGGCTGAATACCAATTGCGCGGCGACAAATGATTTAGAGAAAAAAAAAACCCGCCTCTAGCACGCCGCTAACTCGTTTACTGCATCTTATATTCATTATTTCAGCGTTGTCGTACCGTTTTATGACGTAGTTAGTGGTCGTGATGGGTTCAATCTCGCTTTATAGCGGCCCTGATCATACGGTCGTAGGAAATGCATTTATAATACGGCGACTTGATGATGACGACGTGTTTTATGCTGCACAAACTTTATATCGGCTTAGCCGACTTCTACGTTTACGTTTCATCATTAGAGGTTCCGTCTACTGTCGGTACTTTGTTACAGCTCCTGGTTTCCAGTGCAAGGAGGGAAAAGAGAAATTGTGCGAGACATATCTAAATTTTCTTTTTTACTTTTTCTTAAGAAATAGTAAAAACAGAGGTCGTGGTACTTCCCACATCGAAGACTGTTGCGTTGCGTTCCACAGAAAAAAAAATGGTGAACTGCATGACACAATAAAAATTTGGCTAATTATTAAGTAGCTACTAAATATTGGTTAGGCGAATATTTAATAGTTCTTAAATATAAAATCTGACATTAAATATTAAACAACAGATGGTGTTTGTGATACTTTTAAGAACTCGTAACATCTTTTCCTTGTTGTCACTCAAATTTATGTTATTCGTAATTTTATATGTTTTGATTACTTGAATACCTTTCAGCTTTTCATAAACGAAACGTTGACGTTCATTCAAATTATTAAACTTTCCAAATTCCGAGATCACGCTAATAATGGCGCGTGAATTCGACACTGTGACGGAAAACATATCGCTTGATTTGAACGCGTTGAATGGTGCGTAATTAAACGTAACTTTTTAATTGCCTTCAGCTGACAGTGCGCGATACGGATTTGATTTGTACGCGCAATATAACGCGGGAGAGTAATCAAATAAAATAATGAGGAATTTGTTAATGTTATCAGCCCGGTTGATGGGGACGTCAAAAACGACAGGGCCGAACTCGACGGCGCGCGGAATTAAACGAGGAGCGAAACCGTGATCCGTCAGAGGACGTCGCCGCCGAGAGATCAGGCGGCAAATTTTAATTCGAAACGAAGCTCTTAAGGGCGCGGTTTATTGCGGGGCGAGGTTAATGTATCGCGTGACGCGACTGCCGAGATATCGCCTTAATTCTGGCGGCCCCTTCTCGTTACCCGAGGTGTCGTCCCGTCAACTTTGCATATTTCTGCGAGGGCTCAAATCTCATTTGATGGGAAAAGAATTTCCCTGTAAACAGTGCTGGTTAATGAAAATTCAGTTTTCGTATACATCTGCCGATGGGCGAAGGGTGGTCTTTGCCTATTGTAGCCTAAATCTATATAATCATACTAAGCGTAATAATGATATGCATTAATTAAATACTACTCTACATCTTCTTCACAACTCTGAGCTTGCACGTTTACTGCTATCAACTAGACGGATGCACAAAAGAATATGAAAATTGTAAAACATGTCAACGTCAGCTTATTCTCTTTCAGAACTACTGCACATAAACGAATTGAAACGGCTATGTGTCCGTCCGAAAAATCAAAGCACTCCGCGCCGGAATACGGCACAATTTCATTATTCAATTACGGCCCGGCGGCGGGCAATATGGCGGCGTGAAAATGACACCAGCCGCCCCCCGCGTCGCTAAGCCACCGGCTTAGGCCCACTCGATGCGCATCTCGGCCGGATGATAAACACGACGGCTTTAGATCGCAGTGCGAACGTCTCGCGAATAAAGCGCGGCAAGCGACGAGTCGAGGACGCCGCAACGTAGCCAATTCAATTCTGACAATCGCAAAGTTATGCGGGTGCCTGCGAGACTCATGAACTCAGGGTTCCGTCGAAATATGTTTTGAGGCAATTCCCCCGAAGCCCTTGGGGACTTGGGAAGATATCGAACACGTACGGTAATGACGCTCGCTACTATACGAAGCGAGTGGTTCGGTGCTGGGATTCATTGAGATAAGCTTTTATTGACCCGGTGGCGCCGTTGATAAGATATTGGCTTCGGCGTCGGGGGTCGTGGGTGCGATTACGATCTGGACGTTTGTTTGCCAAGAACGTTTGACGTGAGCCAGCCGGCCGGTCATACAAAGCATAGCCAAAACTGCTTACAACATGATTCACATGTTGTGGCGCATCTAGTTGAGATTAAGGTAGAAAGAAGATAATGATGAAGCTTTTATTGTGGATCTGGCAAACGAGGAAGCGGTGCACCTAACACTAAGTAACCCATGGAATACGCGGAACCGGAGCCGTTCTAAATATCGTCGGCCTTTCAGAAACTACTGGCTCGCCGCGTGCTAAGTGGATTGGAGTGGGACCTCATCTGTTCGCCGTCAGCTCCCGAGACGTGGGCGGCCCCCACCGCCCGCCGGCTGCGGATTGCGTTAAATAAAGTCAAATTGAGCAATAAAGGCTGGCTCCCCGCGGTAATGCGGCAGATTCCCGGTCCGACGACGCTCGAACTATGCTCGCTAATTTTCGCTTTCACGGCGATGGAGAGCGCACCCTTTCTCTCTTTCGCATCTAATAACCTGAAGATAGAAACGGTCATTGACTCCATGTACGTAGATTTCGATGACACTGCTACAAAGGAGACCGCTAGTGTTAAGTACATATTCGATAATTTCTTGGACTTCTTTTTATTACTTTATCATTTTCTAAGATCTATTTACTTTCTAAAGCCTATCTTGGACATCATAGATACGGTTACTAGTTCACGCTGTAGTGGTTTAGACTTTGACCACGTATATGTAACTATACTACATACTAATATTTAAGTTCTTGGCCATGACGTGATGTTATGGACTACAAAACAATAAACCGAGCTAAAACCTATATGCTGTAGCAATAACCCCTATCTTACTAGGAATTATCGTATGAACTATCTTAGTTGGGCATCATATTATATGTTCAATTATTGTATCTATAAAAGCTATCCCTTTTAGAGTTGCCACTTGTCAACTGTTACCTGTTTGCGCAATATCAAAATGGTGGCTTGATAAAATGTACCGAGTTAAGTGTAAACAAAATTAACTGAGTGACGAGGGTAGATGAAAATTTGTTGTTATGAAACGGTCGCTTAGAGCCAAGAATTCATCGCTCCTATTACACTGCCTTAATGTACAAAGGGTTGTCACTATTTTTGGTATGATATTTTTGTCAATTTGCTAATATTTGTTAATATTTGTTTATATTGGTTAATCAAAATGCAGTTTAGCAATAAATAATACACTACCAAAATATGCGAAGTAAAATAAATTTTAGTTGATCTTGAATTAACTACGAGTATCACATTGAATTTGTTTTCGTCATAATCACAATAGAATTGAGCAATGAATCGTTAACTCCGCTTTTAACTTTACCGCTTGGCATTAGATGTTTCTATTTAATAGATTACAATCTAAATACGAATTTCGATTTTGAACGTTATTGTAATTCTTACTTTGAATATAAAATAAAAGGGTAACCACAAACATGGTTCTGATAAATTTCCGATTACTCGAACCATCTATTTGCAAACTCGGCGATTTTCAACTGTCCTCAAATTAAATTGATTAATCATTATCATAACAATAACCATTTTTTTACTAACAAAAAACAAAACGGACTTCAAATATCTCGCTCTGTATTCATTTTATAATTGATTTTCAGGACTTCCCTAAGTATAACTGGAGCCCATGATCCAATACCAATGAAATTAATATGGGACCAAAGAAAGCACCAGCTTTCAAATAAAAAAAGTCATCAAAATCGGTTCACTCAGGCAAAAGTTATGAGGTAACAAACACAAAAACAAAAAAAAACATACAGTCGGATTGAGAACCTTCTCCTTTGGAAGTCGGTTAATAACTTAAAACGATAAACTAGCTAGTGACATCCCTATCGGGTACAAATAACTCTTCTTCTAACGTTCCGTTACATCTTGTACTCGCGGAGGCTCTTGGAGAGAACAGGGTAAGGCGGCGTGGTTTAAAATTCAATTTATATCAATTTGCGTGTAATCAGCGGAGGGGACTCTAATGCAAAAATACGCCGAAAGCTGGCTTCGTATTGCGGTGAATTACGATGGTCTATGGCGTTAGTAAATAATGCGACGCCATAAATGGAGAATCATCGTTTGAGTTATATATATTTAATATATGTTACACTCTAATCTATATGGCTACATATGTATATCAAATTACCATTGTAGACATTATTTCCTGCTTTTTTTATTATTTAAATAAACTAAATAAAATTAAATGATATTTTTTTATGTAAGAAGAAAAGTGAGCTCGTGGTTTACCTAATGTTAAGTGATAAACGCTGCCCATGGACATTTGCAGCATAGGTTGCAGATGCATAGCCACCTTTTAATAAAATGGGCTCCGACTCGCTCACCGGACGAAACGCAGAAATGTAACACTGTCACTTCTCGCCGGTCTTCCGTGAGGTCAACGTTTCGGTCGGTCTCAACGTTTAGATTTGTAGAGTAACAGGAATTTTATGAATTAAACTCTCCGTTGACTGACTCCGTGAGATGACTCCGTGGCGCAGTTGCCAAGGTATTGGCTTCGGCGTTCGGGGTCGTGGGTTCGATTCGGGACAACTATTTGTGTGGCCCACAGATAGTTGTTTCGCATCTGGGTGTTTGTCCGCGTGAAATTTATGTTTGTATAATGTCCTTACAACACAGGATAATGTTATCCTAAAGTAAGGGTAATGTTTAAAAAAAAAAGTAAGAAAAACTGGCGTAAAACCTGATCTGAAAGCTCTCCAATCAGCCAATTGGCAAGAAACAGCCCAGAACAGAGAGCAGTGGCATGTTTTCGTGTCGGAGGCCAAGATCCTCTTTGGGTCGCTGAGCCAGCCAAGTAAGTAAGTAAGTAAGTAAAACCTTATCAACGTTTATATGACCATCTACGTGAATTCTACGGTCGAATACCCTCAATTCTGTATTACTGTAACTATCTAAAGCATGCTTTAGACAATTATAGTAATACCCAGATATTTGATATGAATGTAATTGTTCGAATTACTATGCATTTATAAGTACGTACGTTATAATGTGAATAAAAAACATGGATAAGCTCAAGTGCAATTTCTGAACATAATGCCTCCAGAAAATACGCTGAAAACTCCCACAACGGATCCATTCATCAACTCGCGAGTCCGTATGAATTACTCTTAAATCCCTACGCGTCACTTGTCACAATAAAAATCCAAATGACTTGCGCCCGCTCTTTGTTGCCCTTTTAAGAAACGTTTTTAATATTCCCCGACCGTCTTCGCCCGTTCTATGGCAATTTTGTTGTTCTAAAGCACGAGGCGAATTGAGCATTTCTTTTTCTCTGTGCTGTTTTTGTTTATACAAGTTGGGAGCAGTTGGGGCGTAGGTAATCTCTTTTGAGTCCGTTGGCTCTGAGACTGCTGCGGGGGCATTCTTTTTCATTTGTTTCGTCAACGCTTCCTACTGTTTGTCCACGTTATTTCGCCGCCTGCTTTGCTCGAACCCGTGAATTCTTTACGGGCGGGCGCGCGCTCGCTATGCGTGCAAATTTTTTAAGCGCCAGCGACGTTCCTCGCATATCTCGGACGTTTGTCATCGCGTCTGTTGCTTTACTTCGCGGGACTTCTTATCGTAGTCGCTGCAGATTTTTACGAGTTGTTCTTTGTGGCAATCACAATGAAAAGAAAAGAAAAATTATAGCACGCTTCAGCAATGAGACACGCATTGAGCCTGAATTAGATCTGAAACTGATGTGGATGAAACAATTGTACCTATTAAAAGCTAAGTATGGGTTTGTAGGTTATTACATAACAATGAAGCCCTATTTCAGTGTGTTATTATCCGTGTATTAAGCGTTCACAAACAAGCTGCTTTATAGGAAGAAATCTTGATACGATAGGTATGAATCAACAGCAAATTAGACTAATAAGAGGTTACACGACACCGTCTCCAAACAGTGAGGGGATGATTGCACAATTAATAGCGTAGGATGGCGGCACTCTGCAATTAGCCCCGTCATTGTGCTAAGCTTGGCGGCGTACGCGAGTGTTAATTTAAGGCCCTGGAGCCAGACTGGTATTAGCATGACAATGCCGCCCGACCAACTCCTTTTGAGCGCCCGAGAAACAAACCCTCAATTTGTACTGCGAGAGCAACTTACACCAGACGTGGCTTCGAATGACGACCAGTTTTACAACATGGCAGTAGCCGAGTAATAAGTTTGAATATCAATATATTGATTACGATGGAAATTGAGTTATTAATCATTATTTTCTTTTCTAAAAGCTTCCGCCTTAATGAATAGTATCTGTATCGTGGGTAATAATCACAAACACAAAGTACGACCGAACTCGGCGCGGCTATTTATGGATAACACAAAATCTTGACCAGTTTGAGAATAATTCTTAAAACACGACGTACGAAGACCTAAGAGACTGTGTAGTTTCATTGGCAGTAGTAGTTTAACAAGGTTCATAGAAGCTCATAAAGAAAAATATGCTTTGAAATGTAAGACTGAAGATGATGACTAGTGAATGTGTCACCTAACTTATAACTAGGGACTCTAAGTATATCTACGATGCTCTACGGATGCAGTGAATAGTGAGGAGAATTTATTATTCACTCCAATTACACAGCGACATTTGTTTGGCATGCAGATTTAAATGAACCGTCATCTTGCTCCTTGGCGCTGAGCAAACAGAGACGCGACCCAGCCGAGAGCTCAGCCCGCAGCTCCGATTTAAATTTCGCCCGGTGATAAAAAACAACTGAAAAATAATTCATAAAAGTGAGCGAAATAAAAGTTCACAATGGCAAAGACAAACGCGGGCCCCGGGCGGAGGGGGACTGGATTATCTTTTTGCCAGGGCGTCTTCGCTCTTTAAGAATTCTCTTTTAAATTGTGTTTAGTTTTTAGTCTTTTTGCGGGAGTCCGCTTGCCCTTTGGCCGGTCGCGCCTCCCCGCATTAATAACTTGGGCAAATAACGTTGTGTTTCAATCAAGAATTTTCGTGCGTTTCTTTTTATTCTCGTACCATTACCTCGATTCCGTTTACGTCTGCCGGGGTTTTACGGTCTCTTTTGTAAACGACGGAGCAACGAAATTATTTTGGTATTAAGATATGAGTAGTTACATTATAATACATTGTAATAGTGCTGTTATTTAGTGTAAAAATTTACTTCGTGTGACTTGTCTATATATAGATAGGCAAAGAGAAAACAGTTTACTGCTTCTTATTCAGTGTTTAATATTGACGACATTTACGCCCGGTTTCTGAAACACTGATCATCGTAGATGTCAACTAATCAGCTGTCAAATGGATTTCAAATTACAATCTAGGTACCAAAAGGATGGTTAAAGTCTCTGAATTGACCAGAATGATCTTCTTTATGATCAGAATGGTCAATTCAAAGAGTTCAAACATCCTTTTGGCAACTAAAATGAAATTTGAAATTCATTTGACAGCTGATTAGTTGACATCTACGTTGATTAGTGTTTTAGAAACCGGGCGTTAGTATTGTCAGTAAAACAAAACTGAAAATTTTCAAAGTGGTTGTGGTTGAATTTCGACCAGTAGGCGTTTTATACCTTAATTACGTATTTTAATCACACAAGTAAATCTATT